TGAAGGACAGAAAGGCCTGGCACAATATGGTTCATGGGGTCACAAAGAGTCAGACACGATTTAACAACTGAACAACAACAAGCAGACCAACATATTGCAGGTAGCATTTCACTGACACATTTTCAGTTCTGTATTTAGACCCCACACTTTAAAGAAAGGATAGATTTCCTCCGCATAGAATTTAACTGAACGGAAAATAAAAATAAGGGACATAGAATCAGCATCGAAAAATGCTATCCAACCTCTTTCATAATGCACAAATACTTGGATTTTCTTTGGAGCATAATCTAAGGTTAGCTTAGTCTCCAAGGAAGTAAAAGCCTTGTACTCATTCCCACAGAGCCCCAAAGCCCATATCCCTTGATTAGGGCAACAAACCACAGGTCCCTTCCGCTCTACAGACTCCCTGGCGACGCCAAGTGCCCAATTTTGCCCGTCCCCAACTTCCACCTCCCAATAATGGATTCCCGAGGTGAATTTCTCACAGCCCAGCAGATTAGGAGTGGAATCAAATCTCTCCGGATTGTTGGGCAGTAGCTGGGCCATGTCTCCACACTTCACACTTGTCTTATCTTCGCTTACCACACAGAGAGGGTGAGCTGTGCTGGGGTCCAGAGTAATGCTTGCTGAAGGGAGAGAAAAACAAGCATTAAAAGGACTCTGTCACAACCAAGTGCCAGCACATGTGGAAAATTCAAATCCAAACTGGAATGGGCCTTGCAAAAATAAAAAATAAATACAATAAGAGAAAATAGCTGTTAGGCCCATTTTAATCATCCTGGCTGGCTAGTATATAAAGGATGGGTCCATATATTTAAGCCATGGCCAGATTTGTACAACATGCTAAACTACAGTGGTACCTCTAGTTACGAACTTAATCCATTCCCTGACTCTGGTTGCAACTCGAGTTGGTCTCAAGTCAAGGTAAAGTTTCCCATAAGGTTCAATGTAAATACGGTTAATCCGTTCCACCCTCCGAATTTGGTCGCAACACGAGGCAAATTTCCCCATAAGATTCAATGTAAATACGGTTAATCCGT